TTTTGGGTCACGTCATGACACATGTCATATGTCAAAATGACCGGATCGTCGAGACCAAGCATGTGTCTGAATTTGAGCATGTTCCGACTCCAAAGAAGCGATCTATGAGCATTTGCAGATGATCTCGAGATGTGAAGAACGCAGCCTTTATGAATAGGGAATGGTTCGATGAGGCCACACCGCAATAGTGTAAAACCTATCTATTTGAGGAAATTTAGGCCTAGAATGTTCTTGGGAGGTCCAATTGATCCCAAATTTGATCCGTGGGAGTTTTTCGACTTTCTGGATGCAACGGCGATGATATGGTATTGTTTTGAAGCCCCTAGCATAGGTCTGTAGTTATAACCCCTCTTTTTGGCATGATAGTACTCTTTTCAAGGTAACCTAGTGTAAGGCTTATTTTTGCAGTGTTCCCTTGGTTTGACAGTGTCTTAGGTACCGGTGAGACTAGGTCGTCACTGGCTCTCTCCTTATTTGCACCAGGGGTGTAAGTATGTTTAAAATGACGTATAACACCAACTTGCATGTTATTTTAGCTCTATTTACTTCTAAAAACCAAAAAAAATCACTATTGTTTGGCCAACAATTAGTATCAGAGCTTAAGGGTTTTCAATTTGTTTGAAAAATGGCTAATCCTGGAGTTTCTTTGACTGATTTAATGAAGATTGATAAGTTTGATGGCTATAATTTCTTACTTTGGAAAAGTAAAGTGTCTTATTTATTGCATACTATTGATTTGTTGTATGTAATTTAAGAAGAAATCCTACCTGAACCTGATGATGATTATACACTTAGACAGAGACATTGATACTTAAAATAAAAGAATGATAATTTTACATGCAAGTGTGCTATTTTGAATTTCCTTAGTGATAGATTGCATAAAGTCTTTGAACCCTATGCTAATGCTAAACACTTATGGTAGGCCATAGATAAAAGGCACACCGAAGACAATTATATGGCAAAACATTAACCCTATGAAAGATATAACCAAAACAAAATGTGTACATTTTTTATAACGTGATTGTAATGGCTAACCAACTTGTCGGTTATGGAGAACCCATTTCCAAGCGTCATCAAATCATGAAGATAATAGAGAAACCTTTGTAATTCATCAAAAGACCTTAAGAAAAACTTGTGCCATAATGCTATCATCCACACCCTTGATGATTTAGTAGGACATCTTAGGATGGAAGAATATGATAGGGCCGAAAAGAAAAATGAAAGAGCCCAATAACAAGCTTATTTGGCTACTAAAAAGGGTATCCAAGATCCAATCATAAGAAGAGAAAGAAGCAAAAAGAAAATAATGAGGAAACAAAAAAAGAAGACAATATAAAAGAAAAATTCTTTAAAAAATTAAGAAGATGCTTTAATTGTAACAAACTTGATCATATTACCAAATTTTGTAGGGCCCCACCAAAGAAGAGAGAGAGAGGAAAACCTAGTAACCTAAAGGATGTTGCATTCGTCGTAGAAGAGTCTCTCACAGTCACTCTCCAATAGTTGATGGATTGACTCAGGTGTAACAAGGCATCTCACCACAAGCAATAAATATGTGGCGAACTTTATATAGAAGAAGGTTGGTGATTGAAAACTCTATATGGGAAACTCCTCGTACCCTCAATGATGTCCTTTATGCCCTCAACATGAGGCGTAACCTCATTTCTTTGTCTAAGGTAAATAAAAATGAGGTTGAATTGAATATAAGCGGGGGGAAAATATCTTTTCTTCAGGATGGTGTAGAAGTGGCTAAGGCCTCACTTTGTGGCAGTTTGTTTAAACTTGAGATTAATGAAATGAAATCATCTTCCTCTTATATTGTTGATTCTTCTTTTCAAGAAAGCTGTAATGTATGGCATAGAAGATTAGAACATATTTTCTATAAAAAGGTGTCGAGAATAATGAAGGATAAATTAACTCCTAGTGAAGAAAAGGATAAATTTAAATGTGAAAACTCTTTAAAATAAAATATGCATAGAAAATCATTGTCAAAGGGATTAAGGGCTGAAAGTATTCTAGACATAGTCCATACTGATATTTGTGGAAGATTAAATGCTAAAACATTTAAAGTACATGATTATTTTATCACTTTTATCGATGATTATTCACGATATACATATCACATATTTGATTTATCATAGAAGTAAAGCTTTCGAAAAATTTAAAGAATATAAGATGGAGGTAGGAAATCAACTAGATATGAAGATTAAAATTTTGAAAGTTAAGTTAGAAAAATTTTGTAAAGAACATAGGATCATTAGACAATGCACACTACCTTATACACCCCAACAGAATGGTATGGTTGAAAGAAAAAATATAACCTTTTACTAGAGATGGTTAATTATATGATACAAGAAGCTAATGTATCTTACCAATTTTAGGAAGAATCCTTATTAGCCTCAACTTATATATTAAATAGAGTACCTAACAAATCTACAAATATAACACCTTTTGAATTATAGTTTAATAAGAAACCTAATTTAAATCACATTAGAGTTTGGGGTTGTCTAGCTCATGTCATTAACCCAATTAGAGAAAAACTAGGACCTAAAAATATTAAATGCACTTTTGTTAGATACTCTAAGTCACTCTAAGTGTTTTAGATTATATGATCATGAGACTAAGACCATCATAGAAAGTAGAGATAGTTATTTCTTTGAGGATGAAGAAATGTCGAGAATATAAAATTATAGAAATAAGAGAAGAAGAAATGGGGCAACCTAGTAATTCTTATGAGAACCCTAGTAGTGACAACCATATTCCTATTATGATAGAGCTTAGGAGAAGTATTAAGGAAATAAAAGACCTAGTTACTTGGATGACTACTATGGGTATAATGTAGAAGTTGATCATGAATCCATGAGTTTTAAAGAGGCCATAAGTTCATCTGCGGCATCCAATTGGATGGAGGCAATAGAATATCACTCATTGATGAAGAATGAGACATGGACCTTAATAGACCTACTTGAAGGCCATAGAGCCGTTAGCAGTAAATGGCTCTATACTAAGAAACTGAATCCAGATGGAACAATTGATAGGTATAAAGCTAGACTAGTTGCTAGGGGTTTCACCTAAGTAAAAAGGGTAGATTATAAAGAAACGTTCTCCCCTATTGCTAGAAAGTCATCAATTAAGATTGTACTAGCAATAGCAAATTATTATAACTTTGATATACATCAAATGGATGTAAAGACAGCATTCTATATAGAGAATTAGAGGAAAGATTTTATCAAACAACCCGAGGGATCGAGTCTAAAGAACAAGAAAATAAAGTGTGTAAGTTAAAGAAATCCCTTTATGAATTTAAATAGTTCTCAAGACAATGGTATTTAAAGTTCAATGAGACACTAAAGTACTATGGCTTTGTTAATATCAATATTGATTATTATGTGTACATCCAAAGTAGTGGGGGTAGTCAACTTATGTTGGTGTTATATATAGATAATATTATCATTATAGGTAGTGATCCTAAGGTTATTAAAGATACCAAAGAGTGGTTATGTTTACAATTTGAGATGAAAGATTTAGGAGAACTATAACAGGTTCTTGGCATACAAATTACAAGAGACAAGAAGAGGAGATTACTCTACTTAAGCCAATAATTATATATCGTAAAGATACTAAAAATGTTTAGAATTGATGAATCTAAACCAACGGGAACCCCATATGAGAAATGGTGTAAATTGTCTAAGGACATATATCCTAGGACTGATAAGGAGAAATAATTATGGTAAAGATCCCTTATGCATAAGAAGTATGATCATTAAACTATTTGATGAACTGCAAATGCCCTGATATAGCATATGAAATAGGGGTTGTTAACCATTATATGAGTAAACCAGGCATGGAATGTTGCAAGCTTGTAAAGAGAATATTTAGATACCACACAAAGATCACCAGTTATATCCTATGCTTTGGAGATAGTAAATTAGAACTGCAAGGCCATAGTGATGCTAATTGGGCTGGTAGAGAGGACAGATTCAAATCTACATCTAGATGAATTTTTACTTATGGATGAGCATTTATATCATGGTGCAGCCATATACAGAAGAGTACATCACATTCAACTATGGAGGTAAAGTACATAGCTTTATATGAGGTGGTCAATGAAGCACTATATTTAAGAAAATTGCTCAGTGAGATACCCATTGGCAAAGTTTGAAAGCATTCCAATAGTTATTTATTGTGACAATCAAGCTGCCATAGTTATTTCTAAATATCTTATGTACTACAATATAGCAAAACACATTAATAGAAAGTATCACTCCGTGAGAGAGTATGTGAGACGAAAGGACATAAAAGTAATATATCTCCACATAGATTTCATGATAGGTAACCCATTAACTAAAGGTGTCAAAATAAATACACCTTAAAGGTTTGTAAAAGGTATGGGACTGAGATCCATATGTTTCTTGTGATACGCTCATGATGAGCCTTAGTAGCGCAACTATTAAGCATGTGGAATGTTATGTGATTACCCTTTGCAAGTGTGGCATATCCGCCTTTGTGGCAATGAGGCCTATGTGGCATATCTGCTTTTATAGCAATGAGGTTGGTTAGAATATATCTTTCGATATTTAATGATTCATATATGTGGAAAAATCCCTTGAAGGGGTAAGTTTCACAAACCAGCACCAACTAGTAGTCGTTTTTACTTCGTTATCCACATTGCAAGACTACATTGGATTATTATACTTGGCATAACTTATTGACTATGACCTCTAGCTAGTAGTCATTTGACTCCCTGTTCTGCACTGTGATGGCTAACTTGAATCTCTGGACAGTTGAACATGACCTCTGACTAGTAGTGTTTTGACTATGTGATCCACATTGTAATGGCTAAACTGAACAGTTGCATTTGGCATAACTCACTAAGAATGACCTCTAGTTGCCATGTCTTACAAACATTGTCCACTTTGCGATGGCTAGTTTGGATAGTTTGAAGATCCTTATGGAATCGTGGCATGATTCATTGTATTGATGGTTATTCACATTTTTAGGTAACAATGACTCCTTTTGGTGATGTATGCTTTACGGTGTGAGTATACGATGCTTTACGGAGGACACTAACGAGTGAGAGAGAGAAAGTCCATTAATCTAAAAGCATGGAGGTGAAGTTTATGATATGGTTCATGATCACGCAATATGTCACGGCCATTGATGAGCGTGGGAATGAGTGTGGTTTATACCATTGAGTAGATGGATCATATGTGTGGATAGATTTGTTGTTTGAAGATGTATGGCTCAAGCACCTTCTATATAGCTACTAAAAGTTTGTATGGTAATTTTACAAATACTTTAAAAGAAGTGGGGGAATGTTAGAGAAAACGTGTTTCCAAATGTTTACAAAATAAGGACCTGATTTTTATTTTATCTTTTTTGTTCTACCCCACTTAAAATGAATTTTAAAATAAATTAGTACTTTTATAGAGAAAAATAAATTGCCATGTGGAGTGAGAGAAAAGTGGCTATTGAGAAGAAACACTTGGTCATTCTCTTTATATGTATCTCTCTCTAATTTTCTTCTGTGGTTATATATGAGAAATGGTTTCGGGATGCCTAGGTACCTTGCACAAGCTCTCTGTCTCTCTAAAACCTCTTTGTCTCTCTTAAGCTGCCTTGTGAGCTTGGTACAAATGACGTGCCTCTCCTCTCTATGAGAGCCCTTTAGTGTCACGGGATAAATTACAACACCTTGTTGGATCTCATAGTAGTTTCTCTCTCTAGCCATTGTTTTGGCAGTCTTATCTTCTCTCTTATACAATATGTTCATGGAAAGCTCAATCTCAGCAAGTTTCTCTCTCTAGAAAAGCTACAAAATTGAGCATGTAAAGGAAATAGTGAAATAGTACTTGAAGTTACAGTGAATTTGTTCTAAGTTATTTGAAAGGCTACAAAATTGTTGCTCATACAATATGTTCATGGTGAGTTTGTTCCAAGTTTTTGTTCATACTTTGCTATCTGAAATAGTACTTGAAGTTAGAGAAATATTGTATGAGCAAAGGAAAAATTATTGGGCATCATTTTATATTGTTGGAGTCATTTATATTGAGTTTTTGATGAGTTCATGCTTGTTGGAAATTACATTGGGATTGCTTTGAAGAGGATTATAATAGTCTCAATTGATTGTGGGTTTTGATTCCTATGTGGATCATAAAGTAAATGATCTTTGTGCATCTATTTTGAGTCCTAAAGAAATTTACAGCAAATTTTTGTAATTATTTTGATAAGAGTTGCATTCCATAAGTTTGATAATATTTTTAGTTGAGTTCAAAACCCAACTTGTATGTTATTTTGACTCTATTTACTTCTGAAAACCAAAAAGATCCATTGCTTTTGGGCCATCTACTAATCCCTACATGTAGATGATATTTTGGTTGCAAGCGACAATATTGGTATAATCAATCATACAAAATCTTAGCTTAGTTCTTACTTGGAGACGAAGAGAAACCTCCTTTGAATTGAGAATTAAAATAACTACTTATAGGAGTTTGAGACCCTATCGTTATCTCAAGCGAAATTTTTAGTAAGCATTTTAAAGAGAATTAATGTGAAAAATTATAAAAATAAACATATAAATACACCTTTTCTAAAAGGCTTGAAATTTGAAAAGAGAATGTGTAAAAGAAATAGTATAATGCTGAGATTGAAGGAATTCCATATGCTTAAGATGTAGGGTGGAAAATGTAAGCCATGTTGTGCACAAAACCTAACTCCAGTTATACAATTGGTATTGTAAGTAGATTTTAAAGTAAACCTCGGATGGCTCATTGGCAAATGATAAAAAATATCATTATACCCAAGAAACCAAAAATTACAAATTGTGCTTCAAGCTCACAATTTGTAAGTTAGTGAGTACAATGACGCAAATTTTTGTAGGAGAACCAAATGATAGAAAATAAACCTCTAAACATGTATTACTCTTTCGAGGTGGATGTATTTATTGGCCAATCAAGAAGCAAGGTAGTATAACTCAATATATTATAAAAGCCAATTATGTTGCTTATAACATTGGTACTACTTATGCCGTTTGGATTACAAGGATTACAAGCTTCATGAAGGATTTGAAGATAGATATATGATCGTATATGATAATCATGCAACAATCTCATTAATTAAAGGGGAGTGTGTAGCTCCAAGGGAAAGCACACTTGAATTGAATATCAATATACTTATGCCATTATTGATTATAATAAAGTAACAAAATTATATACCACTTGCTAATATACTTGCAGACCCTTAGAAAGTGCTGGACTATTTTCAAAGCTTGTAAATTTGATAGGACTTGAGAACATCTAATTCTAAAGGTCCACCAAAAGGGATTTTCATCGGGAGAGGAAAAATCATGATAGTGTAAAACCCATGACAAGACTATAAATGAATTTTGGTTGAGATATATTCTTACACCTGCGTTAGCCGTATGATGAGGATATACTCATAAAGAATAAATCCGATAAGTAGCCAATAAGGCATGTTGATGTATTTAACTCTTATTGCTGGAAGATGTTGGTACATGTACGGCTATGGTGCCTCATATATATTATATATTTTTTAGTTGCATAAATTAATACTTTTAAAATATTATATATTTATTATATATCTTTATAAAAGATATTTAGAAAAGATAAAATATCTTTCCCAAACAATTAGGGCCATACTCGGGTTTTGATGGCCATCTAGTCGTAGATTATTAGAAAAAACCAAACATTGGAATAACTGAACCCTCTAAAAGATAGAGTTGACAAGGTCACATAAGACACCATGAAAAAGCTTGCTTGAGAGTTACGAAAAAGGTTGGGCCTCTGCGATCTACACTCTTATGGCATCACCCATCAAAACCAGGTAGTGTCAATGTACTCCAATTTTCTTCCATCATTTAGTTGCTCTTCATTAAAATGTGGATGGTCAGTATAGCTCTTTCATATTGTAGGAAAAAGATTGGGATAATGTTTACTGGCTTCTAGATAAACAACTGCAACGATGCAATTGTTTCAGTCACACCAGATATTCACCAAGGCCACAATTTGCAAAAAGAAACCAAACTGCAGCAGTTCCATAATATAACGAGACACCGATCCATCTGCACAGGGCATTATATACATGAAGGTTTCATGGGATAGGGATATAGAACTAAAAGTTAAGGTGTGATCCTACTAATGCTGTAGAGAGATGGTACCAAAAACAAGACCTCTTTTTTAACTTTGTAAAATAACTTAAAATATATACAAATACGTAGATAGATAGATCGAGATAATCTGATGATAAGGATCGCAATCGCATACAAATTAATGATCACTGCCAGCCCATGAGCATTTTCCTCACACCCTCTTCGATTTGGTTTCTAGCTTGAGAGTGGTCATGGCTGTCATCCAACAGGATCCTATAGACTTCCCATTCCCGATCTCCCATCACATGTCTCCCTATCTCAGCCTGCAATCATTCATGAAAATTCATGTTATTTCTTTCAATAAGGACACATGACAAATATTTGATATTTGGACAAGGTCCCTATGAGACGGCGGACTAACTAATTAAATGAGTCCTCCCTCCATGATTTAATCTAGATGTGGATCTAGGAATCAAAATTTTAGGGAACAAAGATCTGAACCATGATGAGTTAGGAATACGAAAAATGAAGTTAAATTTTAAAAATAAAGAATATTTTTCCGAACGAAGATCTCAACCATGATGAGTAGGAATACGAAAAATGAAGTTAAATTTTAAAAATAAAGAATATATTTCCTGATTAAATATTAGCACCATTAATTTCAAATTTTAATGGGGGACCACTATTTTTTAACATCCATCTACAAGATGGATATTTAATGCGTCAGGGGACACTATTGTACAAGTGCAGTTTGACTGTGAGGCACGGACTACTTTACTGTGATACTTTTCACATTATGCATTACAAGGTCCAGTTTGAGAGAGAGAGACAGACAGACAGAGGGCGCATGGTTTCATTGATTACCGAGAAGATAGAGATCCCAAGCATTCTGAGGGCAAGGGTGATGTCAAAGAAGACGAGAGGCCTACCCTTCCCGCTTAACTCAACCGGATTGGCCACCAACAACTCTGTGTCGGGGCCACGACCCACCACCATCACCCGCAGGGGATGGAGCAGCTCTGACCGCAGCCGCGAGCACAATGCATTCTGCTTCTCGGCATCCACTACTTTCTTCCCATCGGCTTGCATCACAAACAAGTCCACCTCACACAGCTGTTTCCATCTTGCAGAAAATCGCCCATATGATATCTACATAACACAGAAGACAACAGATTTTTAAGGAAGGCAATCATGAAGCAAAGCTTAAGTTTTCTCTGCCAGACTATGCTCCTATAATCAACGAAGCATCAAAACGTATTGTCGATTTTGGTGATCCATTAATCTCTGCTGAAACGATGAATGGTGATGGAGAGAGAGTAAAAATGACATGAAATCAGTTGTGGTTCTAATCAATAACCACCACTGTCCATCATTTCAAGCGATGGTGATGATCCCAAATGTCTGACAAATGGTGGACTAAGTTCCCATTGCTTTATTGGATTGTAGTATAATTTCCCTCTTTTCCCATCACTCAGAACAGCGTGTGAGTACCTGGATATTGTAATCTTTGAGGGTTCTCATGATGTCATAGAGGAGGCCTTTGTGATCTCGGCAGAGAATTTGGATGAGGGTATGAGAGGGACGGAGAGAATTGTCTACTGTGACAGAGAGATGGTTGAGTTTATCAAGTGGAGAAGGTTCCTCATCATCAACATTCAGCAATTCATCAGGGATTGCAGGTAAAATGAAGGAAGAGCACTGGTGTCCCCCCATCTCTGGGTCTGCTGGTTCGATCTCGCACTGGATAACAGACTCTCCAAGAACTGCCCTTAGCTGCTCACATGTGTCCAGCTGTCTCTTCTTTGTGTGCATAAGCTCCCTGATTCATACAATCCAAATGCAACAACATATTAACCTCTGTTTATGTTTTTTTTCCTTGAACCATAGAGAAGAAATATCCTACTAACAAGCAAAAGCAACCACCACTTATTTTACTGCAATTGAGACTTTGGGGTAAACCTTGCTTCATCAGGCAATGGACTCTGCATAAGAGCCCCAACAACTAACAAGATGGGAAACACCAAGTCGCTAAAACCTGTGTTCCTAGTCCTCGAGCTATGGTACGGTTCCACAAACAAACTAGAGTGATGAAATGGGGTTGAGCCTAGGTACTGTAATTATGGCTTGAAATCCAACTGAGGACAGAGAGAGGGCTAATGCAGGATAAACAGTAATGACAGAAATGGCAGTGTTGGGAGTTCACCACAGCCTGTTGTCTTCTATAATCAGAGTAATCAATTGAGTTTTACAATAACCTATTTTAGATTCTTTTTTTCTTTTGAATGAGTTCTTAAAATATTCATTATTGTAATGGGATAAAATCGATATCCTAGAAAACCACAGATGATCATTAAGTGTCATCATCCTCAAATCAATGAATCAGCAATAATACAGGGTGTGGGACCAACGAGAAGATAACACGAAAAGTGACAGGTCCTGCTCTCTCCCCATCAATGTCCATCCTTCCATAGATTGGACAGGTGGATGGACGGCGATAGATACTTATAACCATTGATATTTTATGATGACATAGATCAGAGAACCCTTTCCCTATTCCAATAAAGATTTGAAAAATGTCTATAACATAACGGGATGGGGCAGGTCAGTCTCCATTTTATGATGGTAATTGGCATTACAAAAGAAAATCAAGTACATAACAGAAAGAAGGAAGAACAAAAATAAATGGAAAATCGAGAAAAAAAAATTACAATTGGAAAAGTTAACAAGGAAATTTTTAAGGAAAAATTTCCAAGGAATATAATTTTTACTTCTGTAAATAGATGTTTTTCTCCAAAATAATGGCCATTATTGTGCAACGTTTTCTAAATAGCCACCATCATTTCCATTTTCTAATATTTTGCACCTACTCTACAAGTAAAAAAGTTAATCTCTTAGGACAAAATAACCCCCCTTTCAACACATGTTTCTCTCCTTTCTTATCACACTCATCATTTTTTCACTTGAAGAAGATCCAACAAAAAATGTCCATGACTGGCTTCTGGGCACCAAAAGTGTGCCGGTCTAGCACATGTTTTGCTTGACCAACTCTAGGGCCCAAAGTGTGCCAGTCCGGCACAAAATATGCCAAATTGGCTTCTAGGCCCCCAAATGTGTCAGACTGGCTTCTGAGCCCCACAATGTGCTGAACCAGCCTAGAGAGAAAAAGTGCGAGCTTGATAAGAAGGGAGAGAAATGTGGGTTGAAAGGGGAGGTATTTTGGTCCCAAAAAAATAACTTTTGCACCCAATGATGGTCAAGGGGGTATCTAGAAATTTCCCTATTACTTCACCCATTAATTCTACGTTAAGTTACAAAGTGGGAGTGTTACAATAGCAGCTATTTACACTACAATTCATTTTTCAGATCATGACTATAACAAGAAAGGTACCACTAAAAGCGTAGTGTCTATAGTGTATATATAGTGTATAATAAACAGATGGTTGTCCACTACCATAGGTGAGATGGCGATGGACCATTGTTCAATGTCCTAGACTAGAAGAATAAGGGTTCACCCCCACAATTCATCTTCGGAAATGAGCTGTGGCTACCGATTTGCATATGGAATATTCTTGACGAAATGTTGTAGCGTTCTAAGAATTGGGTGAGTCAAGTCAGGTGCTCCTGAGTTACTCAGACTTGGCAAGGTGCCCATTCCGAGTAGGAACAAGCCAAACTCAGCCATTTCCTACATCTTAGTATTATAACTTATATAGATGGTAGAATACTTGAGAGCACTGTTTCAAAAAGCGGACCGCCCAGCGCCTAGGCGGATATCCCTAGGCGCCCACCTGAACCCGCCTAGGCGGCTGCCCAGGGCCCGCACCCCACCCAAGGCCAGAAATGTGACTCCTTGAGGGTTTTTTTGGGTCTTTTTTTAATACTAAATGGGTAAAATTGTGGGTTTTAGGTTCATTTGAAACCTAAACCCCATTAGAGGCTATTTTAGAGAGAGAAAAGCCCAAAAAATTACTTTTCTACTAGGCCGCCTAGGTTCTGGGCACCCACCTATGCCCTGGGCAGCCTGGACCCCCCCGACCGCCTAGGTGCCGCCTAGCGCTTTTTGAAACACAGCCTGATAGACTCTTCCCTTTCAGTACAAACAACTCAGACTCAAAACCCTACCAAGTCCCAATCCGAGCCTTGGTTTCTGAACATTGTCATGTTGGTTTTTGGTGCTAGTGTGTGCCTTATGGATAACCAATTTCCCTTTGTTAATAGGAGTAGCCAACAAGGTTCGCGACAGTACAAAGAGATAAAGCCGAAATATGTTTAGTGTTGTAAATTATTAGTAAGCTATTAGTATAAATTATCACTGATTTGGCCGTTGAAGATGAGAGAACAAAGTTTGATAAGGATTTTGGAAATCATATATTCGGATGAAGATAACCTAGAGAAAATCATATCCAAATTAGAAGAGAATGATTTGAAAGAGTATAATCTAGAGGAAATTCTTAGAAAAAGAATTGGGAAACTACAGTTTACATCAAATCATATGGAAATAAGTGGAAGTTGAAAAGTTAGACTACTATTGGAATGAATCTTCTTTATCAATACATTGTTTCTTATGCACATTTTTCTCTACTCCAAAAGCTTATGGAAAATAGTAAATAGTTAGGTTTTGCTTTTTGGGACAAAAAAATCAATTGACAATCTACTCATAGGATAACTCTTTCCTGCAGCAGTTACTAATATATTTTTAGTGTCCAATTAGATGGGGTATTCATTCAAATTAAGAATGGAAGTTCATTGCTTTTTGTTCCCCTATAACTATAAATAATACAATTAATTGGAGTCATATGCTTTATCCATTTATTCACTCAACTCAACTGTAAATTGATTTGGTTCAGTTACCCTCTTTGAGTACAAGCCCCAGGTGCCACCTTCTCTCCAAGAAAAGCCAACAAGATCTCAAATATATTCTATATCCTAGTAAAAACTTAGAGACACTCTTAGGGGTTTGTGTGAGAGAATCATTCGAGTCTATACTCCATTGCGGCTCAAGGATTCGTGCTCTATATATGTGCCTTTAGCTATTGTAATCAAAAGACCAGCCAAAGATTGAACTTGTATCATTCAAGGAAAGAAGTTCATGCATAAGAGGAGTGAAAGCCACAGTAAAAGGTGAATCATTTCTGAGTGGTAAGTAATCTGTATCTGATATATGATCCACTGATTATGAATTTTTACTTTTACTCTGCATGGTGACCCACATAGCTAGCTAAAAAAATATATATACCGAACCTTTCAAGAAAAAGAAATATACTATTTAGGAAAATTCAACAAAATGAATGTGATTATAAACATACAATTACTGATAACCATAGATTGGAATTTGAATAGTCCTACTTGGAAATAAGCCAAAGGAGTCCCCATTCCTCGCGGTTCATTTTCAGATGTATTCAAGACCTCTTCTCTCTTAAAACAGCAACTTCCTCTCAGCCTAACGAGAGAGACTTCTTCCCCTGTTCTTCCTATGGTTTCATGGTCATCTACTTCTCCCCTTCTTTCCCCTCACCCAATCAAGCAACTAGAAGGTACTGAACAGTTTTCCAAACTAAGTGTGGGGGTTTGCATGGTCAGTTCCCCTAAGAAGAACCGATTTTCGCGGACCACACCCTTTTACCATTGTCCATTCTCTATTGAAGCCCTGCTAAGAAAGACACCTACTCGTCAAGGATCCAAACGAGTAGGTGAAAGGCAAAATATGTTATGTCCTGCGCAAAGCCTCAACCAGCCGGCCCACATCTCTAGCCAATGCAAAATTGTTTTTAAAATAACCTAGAGATCTAGAACAGCCTAACTAGCCTTTTTCATGAAGAAAAGACCAAACAAAGAATGAAGTAAACCAGAGCCCCCAAAATGTCCCCAAAGAGTCATCTAATCCCATTGATGAGAGTCTTCGAGAGCAAGAATCTAATGATGAGTCTGATCCCAAGGAACTCCCAGTCCAAGTGGAGCAATTCATTGTACCATTTGACTGCTCCCCATGGCACGCTATTGTGGTCGTTGTACCACAAAAGGATGAACATGTCGAAGGTTGTATTGGACACGGGGATTTTAATAAGCCATGCTCAGGATGAACATGTCGAAGAGTGTATTGAACACCAGGATTTTAATAAGCCACGCTCTAAATATAATTCCTCCCTGCCAAATATAGATACACTGGTTGACAATAAGGGAAGGCAAAAGATGTTATCCTTTATGGATGTCTCCGCAGGCTAAAATTAGATAACAGTGGCCATTGGAGTCTAGAAAAAGACCATGATCATCCACGTCATGATGCATGATATTATGGAAGACTTTGTTGATGACATCCTCGTCTAGTCGAAAACAACTGAAAAGCAGCTTCTAAATCTCCAACTGGCGTTCAAGAACCTCTGGAAATATCAGTTAAAGCTCAATCCCCAGAAGTGTCGCTTTGTTGTTGATTCTGGTAAACTGCTGAGATTTGTTGTTAGTCACAGGGGCATCGAGGCATACCCTACTAAGATAAGGAAATTGCAAAGATGCCGCCCCCGACAATATTCGACAGATCCTAGGACTTCAAGGAAGAATTCAGGACATCAGACACTTCATCTCTCAGCTCGTAGATAAATGTGCTCTATTTAATCATCTTTCAAAAGGATGTCCCATTCATATGGGACCAGGATTGTCAAAGGGCTTTGATCAGATAAAAGATTACTTGATTAACTTGCCAGCCCTTAGCCCTCCGATCCCAAATCACCCTATGTTCTCTCTCTCCCCGTCATGGAGAAAACAATGGGAGCAATGCTCGGGCATAGTCTATTACATCAGCACGACAAAGGAAGAGAACACATT